ACGATCAGGTGAACCTCTGAGGAAAAGTCTTCAGGTCCAAAAACAAAAAGTCCAAAAACAGTTTTATTTGTTGTTATCAGATTTTAAAATCACCCACAATAATGTAGATGCTGAAAATTGCGGAGTAAATGTGACCTTTAATCTGTTATTGAGAGTATTTCCTGGTTCAGTGATGTATTAAACATGTCCGTGAAGACAGCTCTGCAGCACAGTCCCTCAGTGCTCGTCCAGGGATGTTATCAGGACCTGGGGCTCTGCGAGAATTGATCCTGGTATTAGAAAGTTTAGAAATGTTCAGCTGGCTTTGTAGTGCAGACTTCAGCACCTGTCATCGTTGCCACCCCTGCCCTTAAATTAGAAAGGTGAAACATGATCTGTTTGTACGGTTTGGATGTCTGTCTGCCTTCTAGAAAACTATTACTACATTCCTGGACATCCTGATCCTCTGGTGTGTGGAAACCGGTCAGACACCGAGTAAGTAAACATGAGTCTCTTACATTCACTGACAGCAACAACAATAAAAACAAACTGTTTTTTATGTGTTCAGGTGGTGTCCAGATAGTTTCAACTGTGTGAAAGCAGGAAGTAACCCAAACTTCGGATACACCAGCTACGACTCGTTTTTCTGGTCTCTGATGTCACTTTTCAGACTCATGATGCACGACTTCTGGGAAGGCCTGATGCAGTTGGTCAGTAACTCACTGATGACCACATGCAGGCTCCTCCCAGTACTCCGGTTGTCTCATCCGTTTCTCTCACCTGTCTGTCCCTCCACAGACGTTGCGAGCTGCAGGAAAATCCTATCTGATCGTCTTTCTGTTCGTCTTCTTCCCGGGTTGTTTCTTCCTGCTCAGTCTCATTTTGGCGGTGGTTGTCATGACACGAGCGGAGCAAGAAGAGACTCGAGATGCCGAGGCCATACAAAGAGAAGAAGAGTTCGGACGGATTGTGGAGGTGCTGAAGAGGAGAGAGGAGGAGGAGGTCAGTAAGGACTCACTGCTTCCACAGGAATTAGGAGGGCAATGAGCAGCCAAATACTAATCAAATCTAATCAGATGTAGTTCATTGGTTGGTCATCAGTAAGTGTGTGCACCTCTTTAACAGCAGATTTTGTCAGTTTGCTGTGGAGCATCCAGGTGTGTGCTAACACAATACCACATTCTCTCCAGGACTGGGTGCCGCACCTTCAAAAACACAAAAGCAGGAATCAATGATCCACACACGGGAATAAAGTTGCTTCTTATTTGCTGAACCTTGTGTCACATGTTACAGGTGCAACATTTTTACGTCTACCTAACTTACAGCCCTCTCTTCTTCTGAATTCTTACATTTATCTCGACTTCTGGAACAGACTCAATACCGCTGTTGGGTCTGCGCTACAGCAGGCCCGCTGGTTCAGACTGATTCCCGTGAAGAAATACAGAACAGCAATCGATCGGTTTTCACATGCTACAGCAAGGGGAGGATCTCGGAGCAAACCTTCTGCGCTCGAGCTCAGATTACTCCAAAGAACCAGCCCCCGCTTGCAGACTTTTTTTGTGTGACACACAGTTTACACAA